AGGAATGGACCTGACAAAGTAATGGGTCCTTATTTTCCTAAATCCCTATTTAGGGTCCTTTGACATCTTTCCTGAAATCACATAATGAAGCTCTCTTCCTCCCCCCACAAAACTACCCTAAAATGAGATGTTTATTTAGCATTATACAAAATGAATGGTAATAGAATGTACTGAAGCAAGCAGCTTTGTGATTATTGTGGAAGCCTGACTTGGTCAGATGTGCAAGTGCACCTCAATGCCTACTTCCGAGTGCCTCTCCCTGATCCTGTTCAGCCCATGAACTTGCTTCTCCTCTGCCTCAGAACCTTAGAAACTAAAACGGCCCCTGGCTCAGGTTTAACTCCAATGGCATTTTTTACACTAATTCCCTTTTCTACAACAGAAAGCATATTATTATCTTTTATTAAGATAACAGAAATTGCTCACAGGCATACAAACAGCACTAAAGGGATCAAAACTCTGTATGACTGTATTTTACTTTGTCAAGCAGCATGAGACCACTCCTATTTTGGATGAAATGGAATGACTTTCAGCCATCCTTATATTTAAGAGAGTTCTGGCTGCCAAAGACTGCAAGATTCAAACAGCAGTTCAGTAGCAGCATTTGGTTCAATACTGAGAATATCTCTCTGCATTACACATGACAGTGACTGAAAGCCAAGTTATGAAATTCTGAAGGTCATTTTTGCCCTGTGGGACATACTTTGGTCATCTCTTCCACAGTGGTTTCTCTGTATCAGTAGCAGAATTTCTATGAAGACTTCCACCCACCTAACTAAAGACCTAACAGAACAGAATGCCCCATTTTATTATTCTGCTCTTCATTTACATAATTTAGAAACCACAATTTCTTACCTGAAAAATCCACCAATCCAGCCTGATCAGTTCCCCGATCATAACCTGTCAATCAAGCAGAATACAGCTAATAGGCAATTTACATCTTGTGACATCAGTTTGGTCACTGCTAACAGCTTCCTCTCAGCTTCCCCTAAGTTACTTCCAGAGAAGAAAAAGGCAAAAGAATAATTTGACAACCACAAATACTGCCCTTCAGGAGACATACAATGGGACAGCCCCCGGATTGGTGGATCCAAGTCACAGAAACCTAAATTTCATGTAAGAAATTAATTTCTCTGTATCTTCAGATCCACCCATCTGGACCAATGGGATCTATTCAACATATTCATCAAGGATAGGGGGGTCAGCATTTTTGGGCTGAGCCAGAGCTTAACACTTCAACCAAAGACAAAGCCCCAAAAAACCAAACCACTCAATTCACAGGGCTGGAGGAAGAGGAAGTAACTTAGTAAAGATAGAACAACCTGGGTTCAAAACAGACATCGATGTGCCTGAGCCAGATGGTTTGAAATATCCAGCTCAAATCAATCACCCAGAATGGCTTCTTGCCAAGAGAGGAAAACCATCCCAACTCATCTCAGGAACCAGAGGGAGAGTTAAAAGTCACACCAGCATCTAAAGAAGCATGGATCTGTGGGTAAGGAGTATGATTCAAAGACACGTATGCTGTCTTGAGAAACAGCACCCCAAAAGGACAACAATAAAAAGCACGAGGGTAAAAAAATGTATCTGAGCTTGCCAAAACTCTGCATAGTAGGAAACAAACCAGTCACACTAATTAAATGAAGTAAGGCTATAGAAATGAGCTACTCCACCCTTCAGAGATAGCTATTGTGGCTTCTCTCCTCCACGAAGAATTTGTATGCATTCACATCACACCATCTTCACTCTTTGCTAATTTAACAGGTACTGTATCTGATTCAGAGTTTTACCAAACTCACTGTGCTCCAGAGAGCCAATTGCCCTAGAGAATGCCCCAGTCTCCAATCCCTGTCACAACTGTAGATCCCATGTAATCAGATTGGCGCTTACTAAAGGGCAACGTCACAAGTCACTTGAATAAATATAGATGTTGTTGCTTCTGAAAGAAGATTCCTCCAAGACAGAGACCACTAGAGGTAGATACACTGTGGAAAAAAATTATGCCTGATGGCTAAATGTGCTAACTAAGACTAAATTTCTCAAAACTGGGGGAAGAGGAGGAAAGAAGGATGGGGAATCTGAGGGAGGAAAGGCTCCAAGGCACAGCCCTTTGGAAATGAGTAGAGAAAAACACTGACAAACCAGAAAATCCTGAAAACCACCAGTCAAGGGAAACAACCTGTGTTTAAAGAGAGACAGTGACTCCCTATATGAGGGACACTGGAAGGAGAATGTGTTGGAAATATTAATAGATCTGGGAGGATGGTGGCCTTTAGATCTGCTGAAGCGCTCACATGAACTTGTTACATTTTGTAGACATGAGCACTGAGGATGTGGGTATTGGAAACATATTTATAATTCAGTTAAAACTTGTCTGAAAAGCTCCAGAGCAGGGGAGCTACCAGAAATAGGAACTAAAAAAATACATTCTCGGGAAGCAGAAAACATTGAGCTGAAGGAATATGTCATTAACACATATAGCAAAGCAGCATACTAAAACCAAGAACACCACCAGAATGTAAGAGCACCACAGACAGCTGGAAAAACATCACGAGGGAGCTCTCTAAGACTTGCTACTGGCAAAATTCTTTTAAGGTCTGGTAAGGAAACCTGAAGAGGCAAAACTGTCACCCTAACTGGGTTTTGCCACACAGACTGTGGATGGGTCACCCATCAATCTAGATTGGTGGATCTGAGGATACAAAGCTAATGTTTTCTGTGACGTTATATTATGTTTAATGTCAGGAACGTGTAAATATATTCCATTTACATTCACACTTTACACAGAACTATGCCCAACTATCTTGCTTGGAAATTCAGAGAGGCGTAGTCACTAAAACTCCATGAGTTCTAGATTCTGACAGAATTTTACACTCCTCCGTCGGTTATTTTTCATTTTAGTGCTAAAAGATGCATTATAGTTACAAATCTTTCACAAACACACACAGAAACAAGAAACTTATTTCTAAAAAAGGTACTAAAGCCTGAATAAAGAGACAGAAAAATGGCAGTGAATAAGTCTGGAAATTAAGTACAGGCATAATGTGTGCATCAACCACAAATGACCACTCTCTACATTCAATTTCGAAATGCAGCAGCCTTAGCTTATGGTAGTAAGAGTCCTAAGCTTATCCTCTCCTAATTTAGGAAAAATTATATGGAAGTCAAACTAGCATTTTTGAGCAGTCTACCATGTAAATGTAGTAATGAAATTGCTTTCAAAACAACACTACGTTCTAGATGAATAATTGCAGAATTGTGCCATTAATGGAGCCTTTGGTTTTATACTCACATGTGTGGGTTTTGGAAGGGAACTCCAGAAGTATTCAAAGTAAACCTTGCTGTGGACTTGAAAGGTGGGTTTGCAAAATTCAATTTCAGCGCTTTGCGTTTACCTGGGAAGCAATGAACACAAAGAAAATATTTCGTGAACAACAGAATATCCTGGTCTGACAGCATCTGGAATTAGCTGGAAGGTAGGGGAAGGAACATAAGAAAGGGGAAATGTGTTTTACATTAGCATTAACCATACTATAACACAACTGCAGTGAAAAGAGAAGTGGGTATAGTCAGGGCTGTTGGTGAATGAGAAGGTATAACAGGGGATGCATCACTCTACACATGTTCTGTTGTTCCTTGAAGCACCTACTACCTGCCACTGTCAGGGAAAGAATACTAAATTAGCTGCACTGTTGGTTTAACCCAGAATAACAGTTTGTACAACTAAACTGAGCATCGTAATCCTCAACAACCATATTTTCTCAGGTACAACATGCACCCTTTTTCATTTAATGTTATGCTCTATAGAAGACATCAGAACTGGTCAGCACACTATGGCCCTTCACATGTTACAGTTAAGATGTGATTAACAGGTTAATCCTGCCCGGCCACACATTCAATTTAAGGCATGATAATACAGTAAACACACCACAACATTATTCCACATGCAGTATATAGTGTATAACCAACTTTGTGGCTCATTTGTATCATGCCTGAAACTGAACATCGGCCAGGTGGGGCTGGCCCATGAGAGATCCTGACCCTCAGCTGAGAATCCAGCATGGGGCTGCCCCAGGGTCTGGAACACAGCTATCCCCTATGCAGGTGGGCTGAGGGCAGAATCAATTCCTAAAACCCAGGCCCCCACCTGAGCCTGGAGGCAGATAGGGAGCACAGTAAGCTCACATCAGGGAAAGTCTCACCAATCTTGGGCTCACTGCACCCCAGGCTGCATGTGCAGGTGGGCTGCACACATGGTTTCTGACATTCTGAGTGCCTGAAAACTCTGGGATCAAGAAGTTTCTCTCTGATTTTGAAGTCCACATGCATAAAACTGCCTAACTGTACACACAGTTTTTAAAGGTCCCAGCACAATGGGACATCAGGTTAGGGGAAATGCTTCCGATCCCAGGGTCCCTGTGCTCTGTGTGCCATGTGCTGCCAGCTGGGCACCATACACAGTCTCATAGGTCCCTGTGTCTAAGGATGAGTGAACACCACTTCTGACCCTCAACTGGGGCCAGAGACCAGACTGGGGCCAGCTCCAGACCCCAATTCAGTCCTCAACCCCAAATAACAATTAGTGGCAACTTGCTGGGGGGGGCGGGGGGCAGTTGGTCATCATCCTGGGTCTCTTTGGCATCGGCAAGTAAGGCTTGATTGGGATCTAACCCCAATCTCAAAATTGCACCTCCTGCTGTGGTGTAGCAGGAGGTCCAATTGTTTGCCATCTGACACCTCCAGGGAAGGAATTCTACCTGATCAACATATCAAAGAGCTACTCAACACAGCTCACAAAAACACCCTCATGGACCCATAGGGACAGCCTTCCATCTTCAGCTCCCTCTGTGCAAAAATGAAGTTTATTTCCTACCTATGGGGACTTTTCACCATCTTGTACCATCTAGACTTTTTCCAGAGCCTGACGAAGGGACTTTGATCCCAAAAGCTTGCAGAAAAGGACGATTTTCTTGCCATTTTCCAGTTGGTCTAATAAAAGGTATCATTTTGGAACCAAGAGTTCTAGTTTTTTGTATGATTAGATCCTATTGCATTTTAAACTGAATGCCTGTCAGTGGCCTATGTCTTAGCAGAACAGTTGGACAGAAGCTTTCAGTGCCAGAGTATAAGTGATAAAACATCAGACCTAAAACAACACAAAAGGGGAACCTGAGGAGTTCTTCCATATGCTTCAAAAGCACTGAAGGGGTGGATGCTCAAGAACCAAGTGCTGTTACTAGTATGCTTCCAAGCTTTAGCAGGATTTTCACAAGGCCACAATTTCTTGGAGCCAGAGGGATAAGGAAAATTTGACAAGCATCTCCTTACATCTCCCCCAAGGAACTGTCTTTGGGTTTTCACTCACTACAGAAGGATCCTTCTCTGGTACAAACATCAAAGGAGGTTCTCTCAAAAGGAATCTTGTGCCCTTGAGGGTCTTCATCTAGCTGAGTCCTGTGCTCCAAATCTGAGGCTGACCTCAAAAATGTACCCAGAAGATAAACCTAGGGTGCCTGCACACATCCCGAAGTTTAATCCTCATTAAATTAAATAGGTTTATAACATTTAAACTTGTTTATTTTGGAGTGTTGCATCAGTGTTTGCATGCATTAGGTTTTTGAACAAATTAAGACCGGTTCCCAGCCAGCGCTGCAGGAGAGTGGGAGAGTCCCGCGCTGCCTGCCTGGCCAGGACTCTCCACCCCGTGCCTTTCCATGCAGTTGTGGGAGCAGGGAGCTGGCACACAGCACAAGAAAAAAAAGAGAAAAAAAAGCAGAAGCAATTCAAAAGCAGCAGCAATTCGAAGGGGTGAACTACAAAAAAGTTGCAGCACCACCTGGTGGACAAAGGCTCATTACACGTCTTTGAGTGCCTTTGTGTTTGCACACAATGAATCCATGGATGCAACGCTTTAATTTGTGACGAGCCATACTAAACTACGTCCGAGAAGTGTTAGTTTAATGCACCAGAAAGATTTTTAAAGTGTCCGGAAAACCTGCTTGTGCAAAAAGTCATGCCACAGCAGCACAAGAAAGGGCAAAAAAGTGATGTCTACAAATCCCCCTGGAGTCTAGCCTCATAGGCCTTCTAGGCCAAGGAAATGAACAATTTACAAATTTGCACATTTTCCTGGAGATGCAAGTCTTTCCTAGATACCTACCATGTCAATTCATCACAGGCACAGCCATGGCATAGAAAAGACATCTTGAAATCAGGCAACCTGGAAAAAACCATGCCAACTTTCAAGTGAGCCTCACTGAAGTGAGGAGGAAAAAAAAGGAGCCTTACACAGCTAGAGAAGCCATGTGGCACTGGCCAAGGGAGCCCTGGGTCTCACTGAGAAACTGAAAGACATCAGAACAAAAAAGGAGAAGAGTAATAAGCTAAAATTGATTTTAAAATATTCTTTTTCCATACACATTTCCCAAAGACTTCCAAAATAAATGTGAGACTAATTATTACAGCATATTATTAGCACTGAGACTTTAGCAGTACTCTTAGGAAAATTAGAAACCTAACTGAATAATAAGAAAATTCAGTAACAATAGTTAACATTAATTTTTGGAAGAGATATACATCTTTCTCCTAAACTAACTTTCTGTTAATCAATAGGGCTAGGATGAGACCCTGATGAGGACACGCTACCTATATCTGCTTGGTGGAGGAAGTTGTTACACTTTTCTTTGAAGCAGGTAAAGGGTAGTAATTGATGGAAGTCAATCATCATCGTGCCCTGTGACCAGTGGGGTCCCCCAAGGCTTTGTCCTTGGACCCATATTGTTCAACATCTTCATTAATGATGTGGACATTGGAGTCAGAAGCTCATTGGCCAAGTTCACCGATGACACCAAACTTTGGGGCAAAGCATCCACACCAGAAGACAGGAAAGCGATCCAGGCTGACCTGGACAGGCTCAGCAAATGGGTGGACGAGAACCTGATGGTGTTTAACACTGAAAAATGCAAGGTTCTCCACCTTGGGAGGAAAAACCTGCAGCATCCTTATAGGCTCGGCAGTGCTACGCTGCTAGCACTACGAAAGAAAGAGACTTGGGGGTCATCATTGACCACAAGATGAACATGAGCCTGCAATGTGATGCTATGGCTAGTAAAGCGACCAAAACGCTGGCTTGCATCCATGGATGCTTCTCAAGCAAATCCCAGGACGCCATTCTCCCCCTGTACTCGGCCTTGGTGGGGCCGCAGCTGGAGTACTGCGTCCAGTTTTGGGCTCCACAATTCAAAAAGGATGTGGAAAAGTTTAAGAGAGTCCAGAGAAGAGCCACACGCATGATCAGAGGTCAGGAAAACAGACCTTACGACGACAGGCTGAGAGCCATGGGGCTCTTTAGCCTGGAAAAGCGCAGGCTCAGGGGTGATCTGATGGCCACCTATAAATTTATCAGGGGTGACCACCAGTATCTGGGGAAACGTTTGTTCACTAGAGCACCCCAAGGGATGACAAGGTTGAACGGTTACAAATTACTGCAAGACCGATTCAGGCTGGACGTAAGGAAGAATTTCTTTACTGTCCAAGCCCTCAAGGTCTGGAACAGCCTGCCATCGGACGTGGTTCAAGCACCTACATTGAACACTTTCAAGAGTAATTGGATGCTTATCTTGCCGGGATCCTATGACCCCAGCTGACTTCCTGCCCTTCGCACAGGGGGCTGGACTCGATGATCTTCCAAGGTCCCTTCCAGCCCTAACGTCTATGAAATATGTAATGGGCCACTCCTGAAGACAAGATCCAATCCAGCAACTGTTTATGTTCACATACTACTCCAACAGTGTAGGAGTGAACTAAGATTTAACAATAGTGTCATTTTTGGTGTAACCTGCCAAAAAGACATTCTCACTCTTACGCCACTGACTAACTGACTTTGCAATTATAAAACCTCTTTTGGCTTAATCCTAATAATTTCTCTCTTCTTAAACATAACAGAGACAACAGCTTCAGTTCTCACTACAGAAGCTCCACGGACTTATAGTAGTTTCAGTTTCATAGTAGCTAGGGTCAGGAGGGACCTGAACAGATTATCTAGCCTGACTCCCTTCCACAGGCAGGAATGAATGCTGGGTTCACAAGACCCCAGACAGGTGATCATCCAACCTCCTCTTGAATTTGCCCAAGGTAAGGGCAAGGACCACTTCCCTGGGAAGTTGGTTCAAATGCTTAATGTCCCTGTAGGCAGACAAGGTTCCTTGGGTAAATCTGATATTTTTTTAAAAGGTCACCAAACATTTTAAGACTTCCCTTATTTATGCTCTTCAGGTTCTGCCCCTTCCATTGTGTGTGAGCATACCTGGGTGTTGATAGGTACTTAGCAGATACTTTCTGATAGTGAAACCTTAGTTCAATTTCCTGTAAATGGTGCCTAAAATCTGTTTTTAAA